TAAAAGAAGAAAGAAAAGTTAAAAAGAAAAAAAAAGGATCGTCTCACACATGAAGCGGGAGACATACCACTAGACCACGGAGTCGCTTTAAATGAAGTCAAGTATATGCAGAGCTGAAGTCACATACATGTTTATATTCATGTTCGATATTGTCAAAATTTTACACAATCCATGGTGTTTGATTTATTTAGCCTTTATCAAACAGTTCTAATAGATGCAATAAGAACATAAAGTCCGCCGAGAACCTGTTTTATACACAATAACTCTCCGCATGCCCCTGTGCTAAAAATAGCGACATGTAATACTATAAATACTAATCAAACAAACGGGGCGGGTCACTTTGAAAGGGGTGAGAGAGGTCCTAGGGAGTTTTGGTATAAAATTACATTGTACAAGCTCAAAATCTTCTTGAAATATCGCCCGGAAATGATAGTGTTACACACAGACACAATGTATATATTTACTACCTTGAACTTTGACCTTTTGACTTCAAAATCAATAGGGGTCTTCATTAGGCCACAGGGAGTTGTTATGTAAAATTTCATTGCAACAGCTCAAAGGGTTTTGGAGATATCGTGTGGAAACGAAAGTGATATAACAGACACAATTTGCTTATTTATGACTCTGACCTTTTGACCTCCAAATCAATAGGGTTCTTCTTTAGTCCATAGGGAGTTGCTATGCTAAATTTCATTGCAAAAGCTCAAAGGGTTCTCGAGATATCGTGTGGAAACGAAAGCGTTACAGACAGACAGAAAGACGGACGGACAAACCCAAATTAATATCCCCCACTTTTCAAGCGGGGGACAAAAAAATACTAACAAAGGTTTATTTTTTCTGGAAATAATTAAAACAAACTAGACTTAAGAGTTTCCAATTGTTTTCCTCATATTTGACCGTGTTCCAAACCCCTTTCAACCTAAAGCCACTCCCGAATCGCTGTCATTATCAATTGGCACTTCCACTTCAACATCCCTCACCACACTATAGAACATAACTGAAAAAAATCTTGTCCAATTTCATCGAACCCTTTAAATTAGCTTTTGAAATTAGCACTTGTAAGAGTTAAGTAATATTCCCCAACATCTTTTATTCAAGCTTTAAATGCTATATGTTTCAGTCTGTCTTCGGAATTTTTGTCTTGTCAACACTCAATTAAGGTAATACACCTTCATGTTCAAATGTTAAAAGTTTATTTTCTGTGTGAATATCTCACTTAAATGTCTATAAAATCTCTGATTTAATGAACTACGTGCTGATACCCTGGATCTTGATCCCGTGATAATGTCCATGGACAGCTAAAATGTCAAATAAAGCACCCAAGATTTGGAGATGTTCGTCCCATATCTTCCTGTATATGATGAAATCATCAACGTAGGCATCGCATGCCTCGAGGTCTCGGAGAAGGGAGTGAATCATCCTTTGGAATGTAGCCGGTGCGTTTTTCATGCCAAAAGGCACTACTTAATTTATACTGGTGAAGTCTATCTTGTGTAGCAAAACCAGTTATTTCTTTTGCTCTCTCTGTTGCCATTAGCCTTTCAACAGGTCAAATTTACTGACAGATTTGGCGTTTCCAATGTTGTCAATACGTCATCGATTCCAGGTATTGGATATGAATCAGTTTTTTTGTAACAGAATTCACCTTTCTAAAGTCTGTACATAATCGGTAGGTACCATCCTGTTTTGGTACAAAAAAACATGTTGAGCTCCAATTACTTTTACTAGGTTCAATAATGTCATTGTCCAACATCTAATGCACTTCACTTCCCTTCTTAGGTTCTGCAATTTTATTGGATTTAGACGGTAAGGATGTTGTTTGATAGACAGAGCGTCGCCCACTATGAATCATGACAAGCTGCATAAGTTTTCTTTGGAACATCCAAAAAGATTTGATGATACTCATTCAAAAAGTTTTTAACGTGTTCTTTTTGGTGAATGTTCAAATGTCCAAGTTTGGCATCGAGTTTTTCAAACGGACACTCTGATTACAATCTTTCTCATTCATTTCTACACTTTCAATACAATTTTGAACAGTCTTAGCATTGGCTAAAGTTGAGACTGGTTTTACAGAATTTTGGTCACACCTTTCAAAATACTCTTTCAACATGTTTATGTGACAAACCCGTTTCTCTTTACGTATACCTGGTGTCTTAAATAGTTTACATCACTAATCTTGCTTTCAATTTCATAAGGGCCGTATAATCTGGCCAGTAAAGGATGACCAGGAATACGCAAAAAACAAGAACTTTATCACCTGGCATAAAAACCCTATTTCTGGCATTTTTGTCATACCACATTTTCATTTTCATCTGAGATCTCTTCAAATTTTCTTGTGCTAATTTACAAGCATTTTAAAGTTTTTTTTTTTGAATAAGACACATCCTATAGATACTTATGAATTAACAAATTTTGCAAATAAACACTGAAACGGCTGCACAAGTTCTTACTTAAGCCTGTAGGAACACACTAGGTATAAGGTGATGTCCGCAAACTATATTCAGATTTCACGCGCATGGTTATTATCGTAATTTAATTAAAAGTCTACTTTCATTTTCGAATACCAGCCTCGAAATAGCACTGAAGAGAGTAAAGTGGTGGCAGATCTAAGCAACTGGCATTTTAAAATAAAACTGATAACAAGCAATTTAAGCACTTATTCATTTCAAAAAACTTCATTCATGAATTAAATCCTTTCCGTATATGTCAGATCTCGCTATTTGTTGAAATGTCTAGAAAGTCAGCTGGCATCGAATCCGACGTCTAAAGAAAATCGAGGCGATTGTTTATCATGAATGGACTTGGAAATATATAAAATGTAAAGAAATTGGTATACAATGAGTTTGAGAATATATATTAGTAAGCTGTGCTAATTGTTTATAAATAAATGTCGAATAATGGTCATGGTCATTTGTTTAGATGTATATAACATGGTACAATTTCAATAATTTTTAAATAATTTACTTAAATGATTTTCTACATACAGTCTTTTATGTTTCAAACTTATTTATACCTTTTAGGCCTTTATGTATATTGGGGATGAACACTAAGTTTTTTCAATATTTTAAAATGTTGACGAATTTATAGTTAAATGTCTTATCCGTGATGTAACTATAAAAAGCAATGATAAAGCTCAAAATATATTAAAGTAAAGATTCTAACATGTAAAGAGAAAATGCCAACGAGCACCTGCATTTAGTACATGATGTATAACATAGTACAACAGAATAAAGTTCCTATTTAACATGTAAGGAGAAGAGGCCTTTAATGATTGTTGATTGATTGTATATTGTTTGACGTCCCTCTCGAGAATTTCTCACTCATATGGAGACGTCCTTGAATGAAATTGATATTTGTAGAATTAAAAAAAATAATCCCAAAATATTAGAAATTCATTTCTTATAATTATCTATTTCTGTTCCTGCACAAATTGCGGGACTTTGAAGTATTTCGTCATGCAATATTCCTGAGTAATAAATTGTCAATAGAATCTAAAAGATAGTTTTTGGAATAGTTCTGCTACGGTTAGCAGTAAAAAAAAGTTCCCCCGCGCTTGCACGGGATTTCAGCTAGTAATCTAAAAGATAAAGATTACTAGTCTCAGTCAGCCACTTTTCCTTTAACAATTTCAAAGGACCTCTAACTGTATGACCGAACACCAATTCAAAAGGACTAAACCAAAGAGACTCCTGGACTGCCTCTCGTGCAGCAAATAGAACAAGATGAACCCCTTCATGCCAGTCTTTCTCATTTGGGTAACAACAGGTCTTCAGGAACGTTTTAGGGCTTGATGAAAACGTTCTATCGCCCCCTGGGTCTCAGGATGATATGCAGTTAATACCCAACTCGTGCATGACTTGCTGGAACAACCCAGACATAAAATTTGAGCCTTGATCCGACTGAATTGCCTTAGGTGCTCCTACAAAACTGAAAAAATTAGTTAGGTAGTTAGGGCCTTAAGTATGCTCTTTGCCTTAATATTCCTATAGGACGTATGGCTTCCGGAAATCGAGTGGATGTACACATAATGGTAAGTAAATACTAGTTTCCAGATCTAGTCCTAGGCAAAGGTCCTACACAGTCCACAACACTGGACTAAACGGTTCTTCAAAAGCTGGAATTGGCTGGAGAGGGGCGGATGGTATCTTCTGATTCGGTTTACCTACCAACTGATAAACATAACATGACGTACAAAACTTCGAAACATCCTTTCTTAGCTTAGGTAAATAAAAATGACTTAAAATCCTATTATAAGTCTTATGACACCTATGCCATAGGTGTACATGGATCATGAGCTAAACACATTACATCTTGACGATAAGCAGCTGGGACCACTATCTGGTGAACAACACGCCACACATCATCTTCGGAAGCGTCAGGGGGTCGCCATCTTCGCATAAGGATGCCATCTTACATAAAGAAGCATTCTCCAACTTTAGTGGTCTCTTCTGGTGGAAGTGCTCTCTTACTAAGTTGGATGTTACCACATCCTCACTGAATCTATCTCCAATATTCTGTAATCACTTGAATAAGTACTGGGTATAAATTAGTAAGTGAATACAGAATGTAGTAAACTTATTACATAACTTATTGGGTTGGGTGGGAGGGAAATTTGATCATCTCAGTTAGCTTTAACTCAATATATATCATGTATACTAGATGAATCTCTTGCCACAACATATTTAACTTCCATATCTCTAAAGGCAATGATCAAATTACAGAATCTCTCCGCTAGGGGTCACTGAGGATGTTACCACATCCTCACTGAATCTATCTCCAATATTCTGTAATCACTTGAATAAGTACTGGGTATAAATTAGTAAGTGAATAATCAATTCATGCTCCATTTTACATATTAGACCTTGATTCTGAATCTTTCTCCTTATACATTTTTTATATAACACTCTTCCCAATACTCAACACATGTATGAAATACATGTGAAAACAAAAATCAGAAACAAACATATTGATTGAATATCTAATTTTATTTTAGGATTCAAATTTACTTTTGTTTACAATATGTAACCTCACATTTCACACACACTACACAAAAAACAAAAAATGCGCTAAAGATCACCAATAGATGTCAAGTCATCAAAATTTGCATTTTCTTTAAACATATTTTCAATTTCTTTTCCTCTCTCACTAGACTGTGCTAACCTTGTAGCAGTATGTGATGCATCTAACAAAGTTTCATATCTACTGTAATATTTTGCAGAGCTTTCTGTAGCCCATCCAACATGGTTCATAAGATCATTAACATTATGTGCCGCATTAGAAAAACACATATGCACAGCACAACCTGCTCTTAAACTATGTGGTGTCTCACCCTCATAGATCCCTAGAGTAATCAAATAACTTTTTAGTCTTTCATATATAGAGGAGTAAGACATTGGATCATTAATAACCCTTCCTGACTCGGTCACCATTCTAAAAAGATACCCTGAAGACATATCTATCCCTAATCTTTTTGCCTCTTCAAAATATATCTCCAATCCTCTAACCGGACAAATGATTTCATTTGGGCAGCATTTTAATACAAATGTATTCGTTTTTCCATTTCCCCTAAGAGTTTTTCCAAATGTATGATTCAATGCAAACCCATCTTTTTTTCTTAAATATTTCACTTCTTGCAATAAAGTAATTGCTATGTCACTAGCCCTGTCACCAGCAAAAAACTGTAATTTAAATAGCGCTTGATCTCTTGTCAAGACAAACCTTTCCTTTGATTTTAAGTCAGACCTCCTTAATTCTCTACATATATACTTTGATATTGATTCAAGTTTTGTTAAAAAGAATGGTTTTGCCTGCTTTGGGAGAATATGTGCTTTTGCTTGCTCTTCTTGAACACATTTCAAATAAGCTTTAATTTGAACTGATGCAGCTGGGTTTCCAACCCCACAATATTCATCGTAAGTTCTTCCTCTTCCCTCTAATTCTAATATATCTACAAGGTGCTGGATAATATTTCTAACTGATGCTGCTGCTAACCGTTTAGGACACTTACAGTTACTATCCCCAATTATTCCTAATTGTTTACATTTATATGAATGGACTGTTGTTTTCCCAAATCTATCCTTCCATACTAAAAATCGTTTAATATCATATGGCGTGACTGACAATAGGGTGGGTGAGTCAGGAAGTTTCTGAAGAAATTGTTCTAACATCATTTTAACGTTTTTCCTCTTTTTTATATACGCAGATGAATTCTTAATGTTATCCAAATATTGAATTCTTTCATCAATGTCTTCCAACTCCATATGAACATTCTGAAAAATACATAAAATGAAAAAATAAAAAACTATTTACAAAATGAACAATCCCAAAAAACAACAAAAATAAAAATACATATCCATGCAATACTAAAAACTATACACACTTCATCTAAATTGTAATCTAAAGACACCCAAGTCATTTTTCAATCCCTTTACATCATTTATAAAACCTTTGGATGTTGGCACCTTTAGTACTCTAACATCACCTTTTCTTCCCAATACTGTTTTTGAAATACAGTGTGCATGTAAAAAAGGCCACCAGACTGGTTTTTCTTGAAAAATTGGTAAAACCATTGTACAATGTTTTACATTTTTTTCTTTCAGCAATGACAACAATGGAAATATCATTTGAAAAGGAGGAAAAACATAAGGATTTTCTTCATCATTCACATTTTGAACAAAAACATTTACACCACCAGATAAAGGTGTTGGGTAAGGTGTAAAATGCCTCAGTAATTTTCCATATCTATCTTTCATACAATTAGAATCTAAACTCATGAGATCTACAGTATGTGGGCCAAACAACTGCTCAACATAAGCCCAGGATGTCTCACTCAACATGCTATCTGACAAAGAAATTGACCTGGAAGGTTCATCTGCCACATTCAGTTTTGATTGTACATACTGTAAATTCAGTGAAATGTTACATTCATAAACAAATTGAAATAACTGTTTCATAATGTCAGTTAGCTGTTTATCTTTTCCTCCTTGATTGGCCCATGAATTTACAACAGCCATATTATCACACAATACATCTACCCTTGAATTCTTAATATTCTCCTTGCAACTATATAATACATTATATACTGCTTCAGCTTCCTTCAGATGAATCGGTCTACTATCATCGTTACTCCAAAAATCACTTAAACTCAATCCTTCCAGTTTACCAGACAACATTTTTCCACCATATTTAAAACCTGATGAATCTGTCGCTAAGATTATTTGCTTATGAGTTTCTAGTCTCCAAGTCATACAACCCCCCCAAGTGTCTATAAACCTCCAGTGTTCTAACTCTTCTTTCAGAGAATTTTCAACTTTAATCATTTGAGAATTCTTCATGCCACAAGAAATCGATCTATTAACTTCTCTACAATACAATTTAGCTGCTGGAACAACTAAGCAAAATGAAATACACTTTCCAGCAAATCTTTGTAAAGTTCTAATATCAACAAATCTTGATAACAATATAGATTCTCTTAATTGTGAAAATGAAATCTTTTTTTCATCTGGTAAGAAAAATGCCATCTTGGAAGAATCAATAAAATAACCCAAATATCTAACAATCTGAGATGGTACAAATTGACTTTTCTTCCAGGAAAGAGTATATTCTAACTTTGTAAGTAATTCAAGTAAAACATATGCAACTTCTGTTATGTTAACCTTTGTAGATTCAATTGCTAGTCTATCATCTATGTACTGTATATTATATATATTTTTACTTCTTAAATAATTTGTTACTTGCATGCCTATGGTCTGATAAATGTATGGAGATGCTTTCCAGCCAAATGGTAATGTGTTGTATGTAAGAACCCAACCTCCAAACTGTATTCCAAAATATTTCCTAGAATTTTGACACAAGTTAACATGATCATATCCTGATTTTTCATCACAGGTTATCATTTTCATATCTTTTTCAACCATTCTGGGTACATGTTTTAAATTTTCCAACTGAAAAGGCATATCTTTCGTCCAAAGATTAATATACCTATCATCATGACAAAGTCTTGGTTTTGTTGGTTCTACAGTTAATGGCATAATGGTATGTGGAAGCTCGCATTCTCCAATTTTACCAACTACTGACAATGATCCATTTACTATCCTTTCATACAATTCAGAGCAAATAAATTCTTTGAATTGTTTACAAACTGGTGAATTATGAAAAAATCTTTTAGGAGGAAGCAAGGAGTTGTAACTACTGCCCCTAAAGTTACCTCTAAAATGTGTAAAAAAGTCTGTTACATCAACACCATTTTTTATCCAATTTTTAACCTGGTTAGATGTATCATTTTCAAACAAAATTTTTTCCCATTGACAAAATTGATTATGAAGTTCTCCAGCAACGAAAAAATCTGGATTTCTTAAATATAGATTATAGATGGATTTTCCTGCATTATCTTCATTAAACATGCATGGGTCAACATGTGATGGAATGTTGTCCCCTCCCAAAGTTGTCCATATTGGATGTTTTCTCGTACTATTCTCAGCATGCACAGGATTAAAATTACATTCAAGTTCCCATTCTGGAACAACTAGGTCAGGTGCATGCACTTCCTACAAAAGAATATGAATTATAAAGTAATAATTCTACTTTTTAATACAATGTTTATATATTTTAATACAAACATCCAATAGGATTTGGGAAAGGACAGCATTCCACCAAGACCCACGTGAAAATTTTTCACTAAGGAATCAGTGTCCCTGGATACATGGTGAAATAACTTGTCCAACATAAAAGAAAAACAATATCCTGACACACTAAATTATTTTCTTTGCTCTTTGGCTAGTTTCATCTTTTGACACTCTCTGATACTGTGACCAGGCATATCACAGAAATAACAATTTCCCCTAGGTTTCCATTGATTAAATCTTCCCCTAGGCCTACTGTTGAACATGGAGTAATTTTGGTATGGTACATATTGATACAACTGCTGTGGCATCAAAAACGGATTGTACACATTTGCCAAAGGTGATTGATGAGTGTTTTCATTTTCTGTTTTTTCTGGTATTTTTAACTTAGATTCAACCTTTTTCTCTTTTGCACATTTGTTTAGAGCCTTAATAACAACATCTGACGACCCCCCAACCACATTCAACACTAATGATAACAAATTTACAGATCCCTGATGTTTGAGAGCTTGTCTAGACAATTCTTCAAAAACACTTGACTCTTCGTGTTGCTTTTTTCTTGCTACATTTGCTAACTCCTCCAGTAATAATAAGATCATCGCCTCATTTGGCGACTTCTGTAGCGAAAGTCCTCGTACCTTCTCTTTGAGGCTTTCCACACTTTCTGTAGCCTTTTCCAGTACCTCGATCCTTGAAAGAATCTCATCTTCTGTTTTTTCTTTGCTTGATTTCTTTTCAACTTTCTCCTGATTAGCTGGTTTTGAGGCCGTCTGGTTATCACCTTCATTTTCAACTCTATCTGATTGCTAAAAATAATCACCGGAAATACCAACTTAAACATAATAACAAAGCCGTATTATTTCCGAAATAATGATATAAATATAGAACCCAGTAGGTAAACTTCATTTCTCCGGAATACAAATGACCAGTTATCAACAGTCGACCCCCTAGTGTGAAAAATTGCTTACCGTCGTCTCATTTAGTGGCTCCCCAGGTTGCCCAACTTCGTTTGCATACACAATTGCATTGTGAAGCAAGTAGATAAGATTTATCTTGGTCACCACTTTTCCAGCCATCTCCAAACAATCAGCGGCGCTCTCCCCTGTGATCTGACGGAATTGAGTAATTAGCTCGTCAGTGTCCAAGTCTTCTGACCGCACTTGTGTGGCCATCCTGGCTGCGGAACCTGATACTTCATTTAGCCTGTTTCTCTTTATCACTGGGAGGATACTCTTTCCCTTCAAAGAATGTTTCCTTTTCAGCGTCCTAACTGCGGGTGGCATCTATAACAATATGAATACAACTTTTACAAATTCTCGTTTGAACTTTAAGTTTTTATATACATGTACATCACCCTAGAAACAAACCCACCTCACAGTACACACTTTATCTTTACCATTACATACTAGTAATTATCTTTATTCATTCATCCTTTAATACGATCCCACATCACGGGAATACAAATCAGTTAAATGCATATTCTCTCTCTGATTTTCAAAATGATTAAATCCCACCTCATGGGATATTTGAACAACTCATGTTCTCTCAAAATGTATTCTCCCCGAGAATACAACAATTATATAATCTTTTCAACTCATGAAAAGTTGGATTTTACAAATCCATTTTCCAACACTCTAATCAATAATTGAACACATCATGTTCAAAATTCTCATAAACCATTATATTTACCTTCCTAAGCGTTCTTCTTTATCTTCTTACTTCCTTAACAATCGAATGATAAAAACGTGTGGCAATTACTTCCGTATCTCTAAAAAAACACTTCCTAAAACAAGGTAACCTATATTGCTTAAAAACAAAATTGAAAGAGGGGGTTGCAGATGGGTTTGAAATTAATTATGATTAGGGTTTAAAATGAATAATGGGTTAAGAATTACCACTCTTCCCTTCGAAAATGTACTTTTAAACAGAATGAAACATATAGAGATAACGAAAAGTATTCAAGATCAAAGGTCCATAAAACAATGCAAAATAGGAGCAGAGCAACCACGGACCTCCAAAACATCAGAAGTGGTATCAGGTGCCATGGAGGAGTGAGCATCCCCTACCGACCGGTCACAAACACCTTGTGCTCCTTGTCATGATCGGGAAAAAACGGAAACATCCATTGTCAATTCAGTGTACAAATAATGGACTAACAATAAGTAAGAAAAATATCAGTCATAATTTAACTCAATGATAATTTGTATTTGCTGACAAGGTCTTTGTATCAATCATATAACTTACAAAATGATGACTTCAAACGAGACTGCTGATGTTATTGTATCATCAATTGATTTGTCAATGATTAACCATGTTTTAGACATTGTTCATACGTAGAGCATGCTCTTGCGTATCGAATTAACTGAGATATAGTAAGTTCTCCGTATGCAGGTGATGAAGGTATATTGCTGCATAAGTAAGGGAAGTTGACGATAGAAAAGTTAAAGTCATTACGTTTATCTTAGAGCTTGGTCGTTAGATTAGTAAGATTACCATTAACGTCTTTTTTAAGTACAACATCAAAATCTAGAACAGATGTGTCAGACTCTGTGGTATCTTTTATCTCAACCTCACCGGGATATATCGTATCGACATAAGAATGGAAATTACCATTGTTAATTGACAATATGTCGTCGATATATCTAAATGTCGAGTTGAAGACCACAGCAAGTGTTTTCTTCTTTTCACGCCTAAGATTTTGCACAAATTCTGCTTCACATGAATACAAAAATAAGTCTGCTTATAACGGGGCGCAATTGGTACCCATGGGATTCCAATAGATTGTTGGAAGACCTGGTCTCTAAAAAATAACATAGATATTGTCAATAAGAAACCCAAACATCTTTTTGATGTCAACATCAGAGTACTTGTGTGTACAATCAGAATTATTTTAACAAAATAATTTTGTAAATGACCAATGACATGGGAAGTAAATTTACGAGTTCCATTTTATTGAAAAAGCAGCTGTCAATGATTCCAAAAAGCGTGGAATTTAATTTAATTTATCGTGGGAAATGGTTGTGTATAAAGTTGAAAAGTCATGTTTTTGAGCTGTTGATTTTGGTAAATTCTTGTGATTTCAAATTGTCCAAAAGTTCCTTGGAATTTTTAAGTATCCACATTTGATTAACACCACATTTTTAATATATTGTTACACAGTACTCTTAAAGTTTCTCCTTCACTACTTTTAATATCTTAGAAAGGAGTAAAGAAAGAGGCTTGGTTGAACATCTACTGGAGCCCGCTATGTATCTTTGTTTATAACGATTCTTATGAAGTTTCGGAATCCAATATATACATATTCAAATTCATTTTGGTTCTTTGGGATATTAAAAGTATTCAAAACTGATATATGATTTTGAAGAATTTCTTCCTTAGGAAGGGAACTACAATTTCATTAAATTCTGTAATTTCGGTTAAGTGATGAATTCATTTTATGGAATATTTATAAACGAGGCCCTTAGGCCGTGTTTCTATGCTCAATTTGATAAAGATATGTATTGAGTAAAATATAGAATCATTGTGACTTTCCCAGGTTACCCAAATAAAGATAAAATGATAAAATAAGCACATACCTGCGGGTATTTTTGTCTAAACGCAGCAACTTGTTTAATTAAAAACTATCTTTCAAAGTAATAAGTATTATAAAATGGGTAGGTTAAAATCAACTCAAGCGCTTGGGATTTATTTGTATTTTCTGATGTTGCTGCTGACATAGTTTTGTCTTTAAATCAATTTCTAACCACAATAGTGCGAAACATTCTTAGCAATCCTTAAGTCGTCCATATATTGTTTAAAATGAAGGGAACAACTGTTCCCGTGTGTGTCATAAAACGCAGAAATTAACTTTTTAAATTAAAAAAATCATCTAACGAAAAATCTCGAGAGTTCAGTTAAGTAGATTTATGAAAACGTTCTTTTCAATCCCGTTTGGAATGAAGGATTACCTTATAAGAAAATAAAGTAAGTCTTTTAATTTGAATGACAAATTATCACAAACTTTTGAATCTTAGGGGATTCACTTTTTAAAAAAAAACCCAAGAAACTAGTCAAAAGATCCCCAGAAGTTATGTTTATATCAATGTTATAGGATATCCAAGACCTGTACAATTATCGAAATATTGATTGATTTTTAAAACAGATTTATTTTATTAAACATAGTAAACTTTGTTTTTTTATTTATGCTATTGAAATTAATTTTTCTATTCATGTTTTGCATTAAATTTTATTGCAGATTTAAAAATTTTTATAAAATTAGGAAATTGAAAAATAAGACTGGCTTGAAAGTAAAACATTTTTGCTAAATATGTGTTTTTCATTGATAAAGCCTGTACAAGCCGTGTTTACAAATCTATGGTTTTAAATATTTAAGATATACTGATTTTAAATCAAGGTTATTATATTTCCAATTAATAATTTAGATTTGTTGGCCGCCTGGTTAAAGTTGCGCAGAAAGGGGTCGATCCGGATCTTTGGCGGCTTGTTGAATCCCAGTGCGGGACGTGGAGACCGGTCCGCCGGAGGATATAAACCTAGGTCCCGTCGCTCAGGTCCCATGTCTCAGGATTCACGTGTCTCAAGTAGGTGCTGGCACAAAAGATATTTCACAACAGTGGAACTGAGTGTCAAGTTTCGGTCTAAAGCAGTCCTCCCCTGGAAATTTCTGGCATCTCAATATGAATGAAAAATTCTCGAAAGGGACTTAAACATACAATCAAAAAATATTTTGTCTGTTACTGCGTGCATGACATGATTTAACCAAAATGGAGCAATAAACAGTGTTCTTTAACCTAGCATTCCTGTCATGTCCTTCAAAACGAAAGTTTAAAAATAGCTGTATATATAGTGTAGTCGCTATTTTTATTTTAGAAACATATCTTTCTCCCCTCTATCATCTCAATGAAATCATTGAGATTTTCTATGAACTCTTTTTTTCGTTATCTAATAGCAGACGCCGTAGGCGAAAACGTTCTCCTAAAGAATTCATATTCTGACTGTTCTCCTAAAGAATTCATATACTGTTCGTTATCTCCATATCCTTCATTCATCTTTTCGAACTTCATAACGTGATTATGTAATTTTTAAGTTACCTTACAATAAAATATATTTTTTTTATATTTAATATATTACCTCTGCTACCTGTATATTCCTAGAGATGGAGCAAAATGAAAAGACACAATATGTAAGTGCATAGAGATTCCTAGTCTCTCCAACTGTCACTAGCTGAGGCCTTCAACTCGACATCTAGATACTAGTACAGTTTGTATATCAAAGACGTATTGTCAATTAACAATGGTAATTTCCATTCTTATGTCGATACAATATATGCAGGTAAGCTAGAGAAAATAGATACCAAAGAGTCTGACACACTTGTTCTAGATTTGGATATTTAACTAGAAAAAAGACGTTATTGGTAATCTAACAACCAAGCTCTATGATAAACGTGATGACTTTAACTTTTCAATCGTAAACTTTCCTTACTTACGCAGCTATATACCTTTATCACCTGCACACGGATTTATATCTCTCTGTTAATTTGATACACAAGAGCATGCTCTAGGTTTGAACGATTTCTAAAACGAGTAAATTATTGACAAACAAGTTGACGAAACATGAATATCAGCAGTCATGTTAAAAGTCATCATTTCGTAAGTTCTATGGTCGATACAATGAACTTGTCAGCAATATGGTTGATTCGACCTTTTCAGTAAATACAATCTAACATAAAGTCAAATGCTGACTGACATATTTCATACTAAATGTTAGGCCATTATTTACACACTGAATATTTATCCGTTATTTCCCGCAAGGAGCACACGGCGATGTGACCGGTCGGAAGGGGGGTGTTAATTTCTCCATGGCACCTGATCCCACTTCTGATGTTTTGGAGCTCCGTGTTGGCTCTGCTTCTTTCTTGTTATGTTTTTATGGATTTTTGTGCTTAAATACTGTTCGTTATTTCCATATGTTTAATGAATACTGTCTTAGTACTGGACGTTGGTTAAATGAACCAAGAGAGATTAGATTATGCAAAAAATGTCATTTAAATGAAATAGGAGATGAATTCCATTACGTATTAAATTGTACGTCAGTGACATGTGAAAGAAATAAATGTTTAACGCAGGAACAATTACAATTCAAAAATACAATTACATTTAGAGAAATAATGAATTCAGATAAACAGTCATTTTTAAGAAAACTGTGTATATTTATTTAAAAAATTACTAAAACGTGCTCCCCAAATTAGTAAAGATCTAAACTAGGGATGTCAACGAATAGTCCACTATTCGACTATCAGTCGAATGGACCGACGATCGAATAATGAAACGGCATTCGAATAATAAATAATTTATGCAAGAAAAGGAGGTGATAAAGAAATTCTCATTTCAAAAGTAAAAAAGCGTCATTCGTCCTTAAACCATTATGCTATACGTTCTCAGACGTATAAAAGCTCAAACGCCTGCATTAAGGAATCACTGTCTAGTTAGTGTAGTATGCCAGGGCATCAACCATGCCAATTTCAATAGTCCTCGCCCACTGACGTCAAACACAAAGGCAGCCGCACGAGATTTACATGCATATTTGGCCTCCTTAGCGTCAGACACAGAGACAGATGCGCACGAGATTTGCATGCATATTAGGCCTCCTTAACTCCTGACCTATCGACCTGCCTAATTTACATTCCATCAGAATTATCAAGAAATAAACTCCCTTAACTTTCAAAGAGTTATCACAGAGAAAAAAATTAGAAATGGTAATATTAGTATGTAAATAATTTTCCACATTGTACTTATGGGAAGTACAGTTGGTAATATCAAACCGCGATAATTATTTCTCAATTACTGACCTCTACTGTTATTGTAGTTAATTATGCAGCCCGAAACTTGACTTTGAAAATTATTAATTGGACTTACTAGAATGAAACTGACTGTACAGACCAATGAATGTGACGAGAATTCGTAGATTTTGGAGAATCGCTAGTGAAAATCTATTTCATTTCATTATCTTATCTCTAATCTCTGAGATCCGGTGTGCAATACAGGCATTTGATGTTAGTTTTTCGACAAAAAGGGTCTTGAATTATAATACGCTATCGATAAAATAAAAAAATGTTCGGAATAGTCAATAATGCAATCGAATGTTCGGCTAAGGAAAATGAATATTTTGACATCCCTAATGTAAACCTATAATTGTACTATTTGTCTATCCTCATACTCACGCATGCTATATATGTTTTTATTTGTCATCATTGTTGTTTACATTTATATCTCGCTATACAATTGTAAAATTGTGAAGAGATCAATAAATTCAGTTCAGTTCAGTCCAGTGAACAACAATAAACTGCACACAAGACTAAAGCAATTATGTGCTAAAAACGCTAAATCTTTTTTAGGTGTACAATAATGATATCTATTCCATAAAGCTCTTGCTAAAGGTAGGAGACAAACATTATTAGTTTTACTAATGTCCTGATTACACCGAGTCCAGGAAAGAGTTTCTCGACAAGTTCTGGGCTGTTGACACAATGTATACTTTACTCTGGGGATACTTACTCAGTACTCCTGAAATTGAATATCTCTTTTCTGTTTTATATTCTTTTTTCAGCATTCTGGCAGATTTAATTGATTGTTCTAAAAATTCATTATTGCCATGTATGATTTAGTTGTATATACATACATGTATTTCTGTATTGTGAGTTGATTTATGCTGTACAAATTGTTTCAAACAATTATAATTCGCTTTTGTGTGACGTTACATGTTGGGAGAGGGCAAATGATGTGCCCAACCCCATCGTATATATTTTTTGCACTAAAATATGTTCAAACCAACCAAACCTGTGAGGTTTTTTTCGTTGGTTCAAATTGATGATATATGCTTTGAAAAATAAGATTACAGATGAAGCTGTGTACAAATAATATAATGTAGCCCTTTTCTTTGGTCAATTAAAATTCATAGATATACTGTACATGTATCGACTTCACAGAGAAGCATATCGACCTCCAACTTCTGAGAACCATTTATAGCTGGAAGCGTCAAATAATGATCAATGTATGTTTAATACAGATAAGCACTTAATAATATTTTTTGTGAAAAACCTTTATTCAAAGTAAAAATCGAGAACAATTTAACAATGTATATATTTGCAAGCACCTTTCGCAGAACAATTTTTAAAAAATTATTCACAACAAAAGATTTAGTAAATGACTATTAATTCTCATTATCTTTGGTAATTTTTAGATTTACAGTAGTAAAAAAAAATTATGCATGAATTCGTTGTTAGGTTACTTACAAAAATAGCTACATGTACATCCCATACAGAGAAAATTCGAAATATAAACTAGAGCTATTGTGAGCGATGGGCTCACAAAATGATACCCCCGCCTCTCATATGGTTATAATGGCAAAGTCCGTGTTTTGCTGTGGCCGGGAAACCCAAAATATGTGTTGGATCAAAAAGTAATATAGGAGATGCACAAAAGCATTATGTAATAAAGAATCTGTCAAAGTATCATTAAATTTTATTCAGAGGTATAGGAGGAGTTGCAGATAAGAGATGGGTACCCTTAAGTATTATTTTAAAAAAAGACAGTGTCCATGTTTTGCCATGGGAAACCCAAAAGATGTGTCCGATCAAAAAGTAAAATCAGAGGTGCACAAGGAGATGGGTACCCCAAAGAGTAACAGACGGACATACAGACAGACGGACGGACATCCCGATCACTGTATACACTGTACCCTCTCACTTTTCAAGTGGGAGGTATATAAAATTAAGAAAGAAGGAATCTAGCGGCATCCCCAAGTTCTTGAATAAATAAATACACTTCTTTGAGAAAAGTTACAATTTACCTTCAACTTCCATGCTCATTTTCACAGGATTTTAAAAATTTACATCCATCAAGAAAGTAAATTTTCTCAAAATAAAAAATGTATCGTTGCAAGACAATAAACGAGTCCCAAGAAAAAGATTTGGAAAAAAATAATAGTGCTGTATACTTGTACATGTATATCTGAAGATGAAATAAACACATTTTCATGGTTTGATAAAAAAAAATCACAGGACAACTAAAATAGACAACAAACAATGCTAATAATATAAATTAATTGAATGAAGTAGTGTGTAGCTTTGGCATCCATACAACTATCCTTCACGGGAAGCATTAAATCACAAAATCCTTTGACCAATTTTCTCATGAAATAATCCTCAAGCCCAAAAGTAATTGGGAAATGGCTTCCATCTTCCACACGCTATGCGTGATTCCAAAATCCATTTTAGATAGAGGATGACATGGTAGAAGATCGACTATGACAAAAATGCCAAAGGCTTCTCTGTCGTCTTTGTTGAGCATTGTTATCGTACCTGAAAAATGTTCGAAGAAAAAGTCGAATGTGAGGCTTGAATTTTTTGTTCAGTATGAAGTATATTAATGGGTTCCATATTGTGGAGGTCTTGGCTACGAGAACTGAAGCTAGTGTTAATCTCAGGGGGATGTTCTTGGCTTCGCCATAGGCCGCCCAAAAGCTGACAACGGCATACGGCGTCCACGTCACCATGAAAGCACAGCACATCATAAAAGCCATCTGAAGCAAAGTAAAAGGAACACAGTTAAGAGCGTGAAATACATCACAGTTAATAACGTTAAATAGTTCTTTAAAAGCGTCAATGTCAGCATACATAACCGAATAATAATTTGCAAAACTGGTTGGCAACTACACAAAATTAAAACTGTAAATAAGCTTCTGTTTTTTACTCCCGAGTTATCCCCCTATTTTCCCCCTTTTTATATATATTAAATAGCAGCTGCTCAAAGTGATGATTGCAATTTTAGCCAATACTTGAAATCTGTTACTACGAATCTTACGTTGAGTAATTAATGATTTTAAATGTCACGAAGAGTGCAGGAAGGATATTGATCAAAATAAAACAATATCTATAAAGATTTCACAGTCATCTATTTTTCTACCAATAAAATAATTTTCTTTAATTTGAGTGATTTGATATGACTTTTATAAAATGAAATAAAGGCTACACACAAAAAATTAAATTGACTAAGGTGTGCTAAAATTAAAGCCCTCGGTCCATACAGATCGTCTGATTAACTTTTCTCTCTTTCTGACAATTAATTATGTGGATTATTGGAACCTTCAGTTGATTTTTGTTTCATTTCAAACTTTTTATCCCAGTTAAACTGGATGATGCTAAAAAACAAATTATTGCATAGTTTCTGGTTACTCTATTGGAGTTTTAAAAACAGGATTTTGTTTCTGTAATAAAAGTTTACAGCAAAAGTATAATGAAAAAAACCCAAGATTCCTTTGTCTAATTATATTGAGAACGACTTGTTTCAAACTACTATGTGAAAAACATTTGTTTCCACCATAAAACTGTTTAAATTTCAATCGACTAAAAATCTATTTCTGAAATTGCATCGTAAAATACTTAAAAGTTCCATTTAGAAGGGCACCTTAATATTTCTAAACAAACTGTATCTTTTAATTGGTATATTTTAACCTGAAAAAATAATTTTCCAACACATAACTCCATTTTAATTTTTTTCTGAATTCTGTCAGATACTATTGCCAAGTAGCTGGGTCAACTGAGTTTTCCAGTCTTGCATGTTAAAGAAAAAAAAGACAAAAAGGCAGAATGCGAAACATGGTATTGCAGATAAATTATAGCAAAAGAGAATGGTCTGAAAGCCAAAATGTTTGAAATTCTCAGTAGGGTCTACCTCCATGACCTTGACTAATATCATCAATCTCAGTTAAGTGTAAAGTTTTGCATTACGTCACGATCTTTTTCGACAGATGCATCCAGCTTAAACAATTCACGCCCCCGCTTTGTGATTGGTCAACTCATATTATCAACATTGACACGGAAATAGTTTTTTGCACGAGCAACCAATCAGGGATTAGAAGAAACTTCCAGTCGTAAAGCTTGCGGTTAGGAGGCGTGTACTATTTACCTTGAGCGCAGCTGTCAAACTAGATCGTGACGTAAAGTAAAACTTCACATTTAACTGAAATTGATTATATTTAGATTTATATTTAAGGAGAGGAATTCACTAAGTTATATAGAACTTTTTTTCCAATCCTTTTGATTGATATCAATAAACTATGTTCAAACAATCAAAACTTATATTTAGAATTTTAGGGGTAAATTTTAGATATGGAAACAATTGGCCCAATCTAGTCCTTGAAAATATTTTCTTGGGAAAAAAGTTAATCTGAAGCTCATAAAGATATCTCAAAAAAACTTAATCTCCGAATTACTAACCGCAAAAAACTAGTACAGTAATTATGCAGGGCAATGAAGAGGCCCTTTTTGGAGAACTAGGTAGTATTAGATATTTTATCTTTAACTTAATCAGTATTGAATTATGTAAAGAGAAATTACATCAGTCATAAAGTCCTCTACAAGAAGGTCAAGGTTACAAGTGTTTGGAGTCAACGCGAAGGTGCAATGGTTGACATCATTATAAATCATATTATTTTTATTAGATAAAACAATGAAATCGACCTATGTTTATCAGGAATTTGAGGTACTCATACATGCATCTGCGTATAAAGATACTTCTAAATAAATAATTCATTCAAAAAATGAAAATATATTTAAAGCGCAACATTTTAAATCTTTTCTATTTGCAATTTACTAGTACATGTATTTTCTATTCATATGTTAATTACTTTGTCCCCTTGTCATAGGGTCTGTAAGTCTCGTCACGTGACCAGCTTCAATCCAGAGTTCCCGATTTGTGCAATCTTGAATATACATGTATATACTCATAAAAAAATATCTATTTCTGGACCTGGCAGTGTTTTTTAGAAGATTTCTAAAGGATTTCTCTTCAGTTTTATTATCTATTACTTATATACCCTTAAATTTGGTTCTTCATTTCAAAAAACTCAAATTTTCTTAAACAATAATAAAATATGGTCAAAATTGTTCTAGAGAAGAGGTCCTACATGTAATAAGGAATAGATTTTGTCTGATTTGCACACATACATACAAACGGACAACTGTTTGAAAACTTCGATTTGAAACATTTACTTGAACATAAGGTCATGTGAGCTAACATCTTCCCAAGTCAAGAGTTTCTGATCCGATCCGCTCCACATCTTCCCAAGTCAACAGTTTCTGATCCGCTCCACATGTGGAGCGGAGCAAATCAGAAACACTTGACTTGGGAAGATGGTGAGCTAAAAGTACAGAATTAATATTTTAAAAATGAAATGTAAAAAATCATATGATGGTTTAAAGAAATTTACATTTATATACATCCTTAAAACTAACCTTGATAAGATATTCCTCCCTTTTCCGAATGTTGTCTCCCGTTTTACTCCGTACTGTTCGAAATGCTTTGCAATGTCTACGGAGATAAAGGTACACCCCTCCATAACAAAATTTCATTACAATGACTGGGAACACAATGCATAAAATCAGCATCAAGGTCACAAAACCTTTGTTGGCTGTCCACTTTAGTGTACAGGAAGTTCCATATGGCTCCACTCCGGATAGACCCCATCCTAACAGCGGAAGTGAAGCCCATAGGCATGCGTACACGTAACTTCCGATGATGAAGAAATTTGTATATTTTGAGAGAGAAGAAGCTGAAAATAAGATGATTTACGGTATTCAATAAAAAAGAATACTAAAAAATGATTTGTAATTATTGGCAATAGCTCTGTTACAATATGATGTAAAAGTTATTTGGCTTGTTTAATTTGCTAACATTGTACACACTTCACTGAACTTGGACACACACCTTATTTATATTCTATTTTGACTTTTCTCAATTATGGATATTTTTAATGTCTTTTATCAAAACACTGCAGATTTCTCCTCTTTTTTTCAAGATTAAGGACTGTTTATTAAAGTGTGACGATGTATGAAGGATATGGAGATAACGAACAGTATTCAATATTAAATTCCATAGAACAATACAAATGATAAGAAACAGAGTAAAAACAATATGTCCCCCAAATTCGTTTGGGGAACATAAATAGGAATGGAGCAAACACGGATCTCAGAAACATCAGAGGTGGGATCGGGTGCCATGGAGGAGTGAGCATTCCCTGCTGACCGGTCACACCCGCCGCCACGGTGTGCTCCTTGTCATGATCGGGAAATAACGGAAAAATCCGTCGTCAATTCAGTGTATAAATAATGGACTAACAATTAGTATGAAAAATGTCAGTCAGCATTTGACTCAATGATAAATTGTATTTGCTTACAAGGTCATTGTATTGACCAAAGAACTTAAGAAATGATGACTTTAAACGAGACTGCTGATATTCCTGTTTCATCAACTTGTTTGTCAATAATTTGCCTCGTTTTAGAAATTGTTCATATGTAGAGCATGCTCTTGCGTATCGAATCAACTGAGATATATAAACGCCGTATGCAGGTGATGAAGGTATATTGCTGCATAAGTAAGGGAAGTTGACGATAGAAAAGTTGAAGTCATCACGTTTATCATAGAGCTTGGTCGTTAGATTACCATTAACGTCTTTTTCAAGTAAAATATCCAAGTATGAAACAGATGTGTCAGACTCTGTGGTATCTTTTATCTCAAGCTCACCAGGATATATCGTATAGACATAGGAATGGCAATCCAGAAGGACCACCCGAATTCGTTGTTTTGACAATTTTCAGACATAAGAGGAACCAAAACAAACCTTTATATAGAGGTCGGAAACGCTCTTTCACCATACATGTTAATAAGTAAAGAAAGTATACAGTGTATTTTAAAAAGATCCGAAGAATTTAAACTTTTAAAAAAACTGTTCATAAGTTGATGATTATTATTAGAATTCGGTTGTTTGGAGAAGTTAGTATCTACATCCAGTTTAACATTCGGCAATACAGATTCTATATCGGTAGTTTTTATCTCCCGCCAGATATATACGTATTTGGGTTATGGCCATTAATTAATTGTTATGGAACTTTATGAAAAAAAGTAAATAAAAATACGTGTATATAGATTGTAGATAAAAATGTTATTATCTATACATGTATAGTAATTTAATTAAATATGATGTATACATGAATATTTTTGCGTTCTACGGATTAAGATTATATTGTAGTTGTTTATATTATAGGCTAGTTGACACTCCAATTTCAACAAAAAGAATGATGAAAATATGATATTGGAACAGAATACTTAAATCAAGATTGTTGAGGAGGTCACTACTATAAAACTGATAAACAAGACTCTCGTGGAGCTAAACGGTTTCCTCACGAGTTTCTCAGGTTACACGTATAACCAATTTGTTCTCATCCAGACTGCAATTCCAAACAGAATGGCAAGAATTTTATTGGTAGAGCTTTTCATAGTAATCATCATAACCGGTGAATCAATGATTTTAAATACTCAAGGGTAAATAAAATATTTTAAATATTAAACAAATTTTAATGATCAAATATAGGCACCCATTTAGATATTCCCAAATCCTACACAGATAGGTAAAAAATTTTATATTCTACTATATACAGGTATTGCTGAGATCAAAGACATTGTATTCTCCAATGAATCACGAGAAGTCATAAAAAAATTATCAGACCAGGCACACGTATTAAACCTGTACAGTTAAAATTAATATTGGACTTAAGAATGACGACATCGATGTATTGTCTTTCGCAGTCTGACCACTGGGTATTGCATAAAGAAGCTGATGGATGCTTTTAAAGTTGGGCTCTTCCATGGACCTCCCCATAACATTGATAATTCGTCTTTTACAGATAAAGCAATAAAACAGACAACTGATTTTTATTGTTATACATTCATAAAAATTAATCAATATATATGCCTCTATATGTTACAAACAAATTTATAATTAAATTAAAAGCTATTTTTAATCTAACGAAAGCTCAAATCGTCTGCATTCCAACAACACATTGACCCCCTGGTGTTAAATGGAACAGCCTAATAGTATTGTATATTGTTTTAACGTCCCTCCAGAGAATTTTTCACTCGTATGGAAACGCCACCACTCGCCGATGGAGAGCTGCAAATTTTGTCCTGTACTCGGCACTCAGGGCCATTGAGCAAGAAGGGATCTTTTTCATGCCAGCACCTCTGCGACACGGGTTCTCGGTTTATACGGTCTCATCGGAAGGACCGGTCTCCACGTCCCACAGTGGGATTCGAATCCGCGATCAACTCCTTACTTCGCGACTCTAGAGCAGACGCTTTAGATAACCACTACGCTACGCGGGCGACCAGCCTAATAGTAACATGGTGACCTAATTATAGCCCGGAGGACCGGGCTGCTCTATACATAAAATTTTTTAGTTTTTGTGTATGGGATTGAGGTGGGTGTAGTTATTTAAGGAATCACTGTCTAGTGAGGAGACTATGCCAGGGCATCAACGATAGTGGGAAACATGGGATAATTTGAATAACTGGCGAAGTCCAACACTGATATTGAAATGTTACTCTTTCCGGAAAAATCATTCTCTAGTATGGGTCCATTATTTTAAAATATGAAGTCATTCAAGTTTGAGCGATTTTATGTCTCGGCGCTTCCAGAAATGAGGGTATAACTTTTTTCTTTAAGCAAAACATTGAGGCATAAAAAATACTATTATATTCTAAATTACTTCACATGTTTGAAAGCATTTTGTAAATCCTAATAAAGTTTTGAGAGAGAGAGAATCTAAGTGATTGTTTTTATACAATCAGTTCTTGGGCGATTTCACTTCTTGCTTGACGTTCCCGTAGGAATATGAGCGGGATAAATTCGATTGATTAATGCTTTAGCATTTGATATTTCAAAGTTCTTTTTTTCTAAATTAAAGAGAATACGAAAGAAATAACTTGTAAATTAAAATGATTTCTGTTAAAAAAATCGGTGAAAGCGAATATTCCGGATTTCAGATGACGTTAGAGAAGCCAAAATGATCCCAATTTACTTCGTGATAAACGTCTTAGTATCAGAACCCTGTTCACATTATGTTTAACAGAAATAGGTTGTAACCGATATTTTTTTGTTATAAACTAATGACATGCTTAAATAAGAAATTTACCAAGAAAAAATCGAACTCAGTCAATCATTTCTTTTCCGTAAAATAAAGAGAAATCTGTTAGAATAATCTGAAAATACACGTGAGCATAATTGTTTGATCAAGGTCCGCATTCAGGATCAGTTTATTATTATTATTTTTTTTTTTGTTTCTCAAGGACAATGACGGCATTCTGTTAATCAAAGTATGACAAAAAGTATATGATTGCTTTAATAAACAATCTCCATAATCAAGCACGCGGAAATAGTCGTCCACTCTCCCGTAAGAATACAATGAAAATAATATCTGTCTTTCTCGTTTTCTTCGTCTTCCTTTCATTAGTAGACTAATTTTTCCTATTTATCGTTATCTACTGCAGAGTTCCATCAACACAGTTATCCGTCTGTTTTGTAACGAAATGGTTAAATCTAAAACTATTCTAAAATTATTTGCTTCTATAGGTTTATTATAAATTAAAGTATATCTACAAGTGACTGCTATGAATCATTCACAAATATGACAGGTCACCCGCGTGGCGCAACGGTTAGAGAGTCTGCTCTAGAGTCGCGAAGTAAGGAGTTGATCCTTACGTCGCGGGTTCGAATCCCACTGTGGGACGTGGAGACCAGTCCTTCGGATGAGACCAAGACCGTACATTAATTGAGGTCCCGTGTCGCAATAGATGCTGGCACGAAAAGGACCCCTCCCTGCTCAATGGCCCTGCGTGCCGAGTATAGGACAAAATTTGCAGCTCTCCACCGGCAAGTGGTAGCGTCTCTATGTTAGTGAAAAATTCTCAAGAGGACGTTAAACAATATACAATCAATCAAATACTCCAAAGTATTTGCCATGTAATTATCATTCAAATTGGTTTACAAGCACATATCTAGTTAGCTGCAGATCTGTAGCGTTATGGTTTTATATAGTAGTCTTTGACGGTAACTAGATACTATATAAAACTATAACGCTACAGATCTGCAGCTAATATCTAGTTAAAGCTTATACCTTAATTTCAAATCAGAAGAGGAAATTTTATAAAAGAAAAAGGATCAATCAGTTTTATTCCACTCCTTTCAAAACATAATGCACCCAGCCACACTGTTTACAAAGAACTAGGTGAGATAAGCTGAGTCTCGGGACTTCCCACATGGCGGCTGTTTAAGTCAACTATTCCCCCCGTACTCCATACCTCTCTCGTAAACACAGTTACGCACACCTACATCACTTCAATGACGAATTATGTGCCGAAGCTTATGTAACTTTATATATCAAAAAATAAGGGCGTACTTTTCTTAGTAACTATTACTGAATTTATTGATGTTGATCGTTACTGGTCTAATGAAAAAAGGCAAGATCGATTTCTCAGAAGTATTTAATGAAGGTACACGAAAGATTCTGACTTTTATCCACAAAGGGATTGATCCTACATGTAGTTTTTGATTCTTATTACTCAAGAAGATGTCACTGAAAGCAATGGAGTTATGGCCTTATATGGCAACAACTTGTATACGTGCAATGGTTTGTACTAGTTCATTGTAAATAAAAGGCATTGAAACAAATAAATGTATATCTACTTACATTTGCTGGATTTACACACATGGATATATCTTGAGAAACTCATCAAAGCTAATGTAGATATGCTGACCACTCCACAGAAAAATCCAAGACACCCATAGGCACTACATCCTATACGTAATGGAGACATTTTTTACAAACAGAACTGCATATGACTTCCAGCAAATAAACATGTAATTTACAAATCAGCTTTTTTTTCTCTCGCTAAAATTATAACAGTCCTCGGTAAAATAATGCCTAACATTTTATTTGTTTGTTTTACCTTGGAATCCAATTTATATTTTTTAAGTTTTCAAACAGGCTTGAGCTTTGACTTATAACTGTTATATATTCTCATATATCAGAGTAATAGATACAAGGCACTGGTAATTGAGAAACCTGCTATTTCCTCTTATTAAATGATTTTCTTTAAGTAAAAATAAATCCTAAATTCAGTTTTTCAGTGCCAGTATACGGCGTAAGTCCAAGAAACCGATCACAGAAAGAATATAACGAGTTTTTTAATTTAAAAAAGGGAATGAATAAAATTGTTTACCGCCTGCACCAAACTTCCATCGATGAAAAAATGAGGATGAAATTCCAAAAGGAAGCCCCACAACAGATAGGATTAAGTCACTGACGGCAAGGTTTACAATGAAGTAATCCGCCGGAACAAGGCTGTTAGTTTAGTACACACAAATTACGAAAAATTCACAAAGGATTTACCGCTGAAGAAAAAACAATTTTATAGTATTGTTTAGTGTAAATGTAGCATAGAATATTAATATAGTATAAACCAGAGACCTCGGAATGGAATACATTTGGTAGTCTCTGGTTTTATCCTACAACTATAACCCCAACCGGAAGCTTATGTATCCCATCTACGGTCTTATTTTGTATCGAGGTAATTTTCGATGAATAAACGAGTAGTTTACATTAAAAAGGCACGACCAGAGACGATTAAATTGACAAGAAAATGTCTCTCAAAGTGAACTATGCCACTTTAAAGTAGGTTAATGATTGATGTATTAACAAAATACGATCTTGAAGCAGGGGTGCCTGACAATGAGTAAGGTACTTTGTGGTAAAAATAAGTAGGGGTGCCCAGTATACGAAATAAGTACCTGTGGTATAATGACTGCTTCTTGATCAAACATCAGGTAGTTAGAAGTTAAAGTCGAGACTTTCGAATGAGGCCTTATAAACTGAGCTTCCCTTTCCTCATAATTCTCATTTCGAATTTTTAAAAATATGTAACCACGAACCTTGGGAAAAATCATTATAATAAAAACAAATAAATACACTGTATAAATAAGATACAAATAGACCTAGCAAACAAATGGATGAAATGAGATTGATAAATTATGGCTAACTATTTTGTCTAAAATATTTTGTAATGTATCTTGAATTCTCAACTTAAATTTAATTGAAATTGAGGACGTTTGAACTTTATCAGGATCGATATTCCTTGTTTAACTTGTTACCTGAAAAACTTATTCACGACAGTAATCACAATCATTATTTTTGAACTGCTTAAAGGTTTGTATATTTCCCCCCAAATCTAACTTAGATTCGACGAACAAATCACAAAAATGAAAACACAATTTAAAAAAAAGGAAAATATGATCATGGTGATCAGAAAAATACAGCTTAAGGTAAATTTAAACTAATAGCAGTTTCAGGGCCCACGTCAATGGCTCGGGCGGAGGACATTTTAACAGAATTGCAAAAATTGGACATTTTGTTAAAACAAATTGAAGGATATTTCACCTGAAAAAAAGTATTTTCTGGGAAAAGGGGATTTTTTTAATTCGCGTTTTTTCACAGTTAAGATAAAAGAAAAGGGGTTATGGGTTTTTTTCTACCATCAGTGGGTTTTTTGGTGGGGTTTGTTTGTTTGTTTGTTCTAGTTTAGTTTGTGATTTTTATAATTTTGTATTTGATTTTCATCTCTTTTTGTCTTCATCTTTTGTCGTAGAAAGTCTCCGTGTATAAGAGTGTCTGATTTCGAAACCAAATCTATTCAACTGACATTCAAGGTTACTTCTATAAGACTGACGACATGATGCATGTTCGATGCCATGACTTATAAAATATCCTGCGCCCTAATTTACGGTCTTCTGCTATATAATCGAAGACGATCTATCAATCAATGAAGAAGACCTACATTAGCTTTATACAGTCTTAAACTCTTACATAATCTTGACACGCATCTTCACGGTTACATAGAAAACTAACTTAAAAGTGATGGTGGTAATAAGTAAACGAATAAATACTGTAATCGAAAATGATGTTTGCCAATGGAAGGAATATATAAAAGTATTTATTATCTCTGTTTCTATGTCTAGACCTTTTATACAAGGAGAGTGGATGCATATAGGTTTTGCCTGTTACCAAATCCTTACTGAATTCATATATTTAAAGCAAGAAATTTTACACGTCTTTTATCAGTCTTTCTCCTAACTTTTGGTGGTTCCACTTTTGTAACTTTGTTAAAGAATGTTAAAGCACGTTAGTAATTGTTAGTTTGCATATTAAAGTAATACAAATATTGAAAGTTGTTTACATATACAAGTATTTCAAATTATTATATACTCATGAAAGGTAAAATATATGTGACTTGAAAAACTAGTTTATGGTGCTGAATGTTATTGAACATGCCTGCGAGCTTGCATACTATGAATTCGTAGCAATATAAATATGTCTCTGAATTAGCCACATTTATAGCATAAATGATCGATACACTGAAAACGAATTTAAAACAGAAAATCTGTTAACAAATTGCAGTAAAAAATGTCTACTTAAAAATATAATTAAATGTCATACAGTAATTTATCATTGAGTGACATTTTAGGGATTAAATGTGTATAACGTTTGCATGTACTTAGAAGCAAGGTTATGGAAAAGAACCTTTAGAAAGCACCTTGTAACGCAATGGATTTGAATTTGAAGAAAGAATTCGCTTTGTTTATTAAACCTTTCTGATATCCAACCTCACCCAATTTTTTTTTTTACTTTTTAAAAATAAGAAATCATCAAATTCAGAAATCAAAAAAATATAAATGACCAGTTTGCTTTACAGTTTCTCAATTCGAATACAATAAATAAAAAATAAGAAAGAATTGCAATATAACATTCAACATTCCGATAGTCTATAGAAATCCATCATACAAGTTACACGTCTGTTTCCATATAATTCCAGCTACATAAAGCTCCCAATTAACCAAACAACGCAGTATTTCCAACTTATCTGTCAAAAATTGCTCTGCCAACCAACATAATATTTCCAAATTACCTGCCAAAAGTTGCCAAAAACAAACAACATAATATTCTCAACTTATCCGTCAAAAGTTGCCCTAACCAAACAAGATACATCTATCAACTTACTCGCCACAAGTTGCTCTAACCAAACAACATAGTACATGTATTCCCAACTTATAATTACCCGTCAACAGTAGCTGTATTCCTACAACATAGGATTCCCAACTTATCCGCCAACAGCAGCTGTGTTCCTACAACATAGTATTCCCAACTTACCCGCCAAAAGTTTCTCTAAACAACATAGTATTCCCAACTTACCCGTCAACAGCAGCTGTATTCCTACAATATAGTCCTCCCAAACTGTTAACTTAGAATCAAACATGTCCAGCTCGCGTACCTCAGAAATATTTTCCAAATTAAGTGGAATATTAATATCAACTTCACTGTTTAACTTGTGTAAAGTTGTCATCGAAACAATTGCCTGTTGGCAGTGAGTAATGGACAATTGAGATGAGACATCAACCTGCTGATCCTTTTATTTCGTCCATTTGTCGCGGATTAAGTTCACCTGAGTTTCAGCATATCATTCTGCAGGTTAGAAGCTGTAAATTGAGGAAGGAGAAGGGAGGTCCGCCGTATGTATTGGTCTCTCTTTAGGAGAAAATCGATATTCTCAACGCGCGGTGCACGTTAAACGTAAATTAAAATTTTAAAAAAAGAAGATTTTTGCGCTTTAATGTCGCACAAACAGACATACAAATGTATTCTAGTATATATTTAAATTCCTCGTGCACAAATTCAGTTTGATATTTCCATTTTTAAAAAAACTTGGTCAAAAGCGAGAGCTCGCATCTGCTAGTTGTAAAGGAGAGGGATGGGTAAAAAATAATTGTTTATTTCTGGATTTTTATCAAACAAGCAAGGTAACAGTTTAACAATAACGGCTTCACATTTTAAAACAGATGACAGAAATAAGAGTTTCATTCGATAAAGCAAACATATGACGAGTAATTGATAGAATTTCAATCCAAAATGTCACAGGATAATAATAAAAAATCATCGCTGAAACAACATCATCAAAAATTCTTGGATATTTTTAAAAGTGAAAATATTCAATATCAAAATATTTAATTTTGGGAGGTGGTGGTCTCAAGGATAATTAAACAGAGCCATTCAGAGGCTCTTGAAGAATTCCATATAATGAAAATATTCCATTGAACTAATTATTTAAAATAAGCTATGTAAAGTAGAAGACTGGTCTTAAGCTTTTTTTATACTATAACAGTATTTATTTCTATAGCAAACGCAAATAAAGTCATAGATCTAAGAATCAATGCTGGCGTCTCAGAAAGACATTCATTAACGAAGAGTTCGCACTGCTCTGGCAAAGGTCCAAACTTAATCAACACCTGTCTTCCAGGAAATCAAAAATAAATTCATAAGTTTCTAAATAACAGTCTAATAAATTAAGAAGTGTTAATGTATATTAGCAATCATAAGCTATATCTATATTTTAAATCGATTCTCTGACGTTTGTATTTGTGAAGGTCTTTTCTTCATCTGTTTCTCTTTTATTTTCGCTTCTGTGCAGGATTTTATATATTTCGTGTAACTTGTATGTACATATTTACTGATTTCTGAATAAAGAGGATAGATCGTCTTGTATTGATAATAACTTCGATTCCATTTACATGTATATCATTATCTTCATTAAATAATCTTGCTAAATAAAACTAGAGGTACTGTGAGCAATGAGCTCACTAAATGATACCCCCCCCCCCCCTCCGCCTCCCACATGAATATAATGGCAGTGTCCATGTTTTGCTATGGGAAATCCAAAATATGTGTCGGATCAAAAAGTAAAATAGGAGGTGCACAATGACAATATGTAATAAAGATTCTTTGAGGCAATATGTAATAAAGATTCTGTGAAAGTTTCATCAAATTTCATTCAGTGGTATGAGAGGAGTTGCGGATAAGAGATGGGTACCCCAAAGCGTAACAGACGGACGTACGGACGGACGGACGACGGACAAAATGTGATCAGAAAAGATCACTTGAGCCTTCGGCTCAGGTGAGCTAAAAAGGGTTAAGTAGTTATGTATAAAAAAAATGTTTATTTTCTGTCTGAGAACAACATAGTGGTCGAAAATGACGTTCCCATACCTCCTCACATCTTACGTAAGATGATAAGTTTTGTTCTTCAAATGTGCAGTAGCCTTTTGGATTTTAATTTTCCGGGCCATAATGTAGGTCAAAATTGAAGTTTTTTTGTTAGGAAACTGCGGGGAGTAGATGCTGGAAATACCTTTAAATTTTACGCTGAAGTCAAGTCATTTTTGGGAGATAGTTATCTGTATTCTGTAGATGTGTAAAAAGGTTTCAAAATGTTCTCTTTTTTAATAAAGTTTTATATTATATTATTATATTATGGTAAAAGTGGGTCGAACTAAAAGGTCAATGTCAGGAGGTCAAATTTGGCTATGCCCTTAGAAAGGTCTTGCCACAAACCTGTGAAATATGAAAGTCATAGCCCCACACACTTAAAGTTACGGGCAAGGTTAAAGTTTAAAGTTTTTGCAGACAAACAGAAGAACTGGGCAAAAACTATATACCCCCGAATCTTCGATTAAGGGGCAGGGGCACAAAAACGACGCTTTCTCGACAGCTTAAATGAAACATATGGAGATAACGAAGAGTATTTAAGATCAAAGTTCATAAAGCAATACAAAATAGGAGCGGAGCAAACACGGACTTCCAAAACATCTGAGGTGGGATCAGGTGCCATGGAGGAGTGAGCATCCCCTGCCGACCGGTCACACCCGCCGTGTGCTCCTTGTCATGATCGGGAAATAACGGAAAAATCCGTCGCCAATTTAGTGTTTAAATAATGGCCTAACAATTAGTATGAAAAACGTCAGTAAGCATTTGATTCAATGATAAATTGTATTTGCTGACAAGGTCATTGTATCGACCATAGAACTTACGAAATGATGACTTTAAACAGACTGCTGAAATTCTTGTTTCATCAACTTGTTTGTCAATAATTTACCTCGTTTTAGAAATTGTTCGTACGTGGAGCTTGCGTATCAAATCAACTACAATATATAAACTTGGTATCGAGGTGATGGTGGTATATTGCATAAGCAAGGGAAGTTGACGATAGAAATATGAAAGTCATCACGTTTATCATAGAGCTTGGTTAAAATATGCTTTATAAAATAACTTTTGTGATTTCATAATACCAAAACACAAGGGAGAGAACATTTAAAGGCAAAGTATTATATTTCTTTAAATTATAGTAAGAACAAATATTTTTTGCCCTCCTCTTTTGCGAAAACGAAAGCGAATCTTATTCGTCTACCAGTCCGTCTGTCTATCATAAAAACTTTAAATTTGGTCATAACGTTTGAATGAGAAGAGATAGGACTTTCATATTTTATATGTACATTAACTGTGACCTTTCCAAATATACTATGAGTTTTGACCCCATGACTTTGACCTTGAAATTTGACCTTTTTAAAAAAAAAAATTCAACATCACTTTATATTGCCATAACGTTTGAAAGAGAAAAGTTCTAGGGATTTCATGTTATATATTTATATAACCTGTGACAAAGCCTTTCTAAATATACTCTGATTTTTTACCTTGTGACCTTGACCTTGAAGTGTAACATACTTTTCAAAAATGTTATACTTTGATTGAGAAGAGAAAGGGCTTTCCTATTTTACATGTGCATTACCTTTGAAAAGATGTTTTCGAGCATGATATGATTTTTTACCCCTTGGCCTTCATATTTGCCTAATCTTAAAAAGATAAATAATGTTGTTGATTACTTTTAAGGAGGCTAGGGGGTCAATAAATTATTCTTTTATTAACCACCAGATATGACTTAAATTTTGGGATCTTAAGCTGTCAACTATCATTTGGCAAAGAAAAATGTCATAAATTTTAGTTTTAAAATTTGATCATTTTGTTATATCTTTATATGGAGCTCTTCTTCTAAAGGAGATCAAAATAATCTAAAAATGGCCACAACCACCCAGCCTCTTTGAAGGACCTTTGAAGATGTTTCCCGTTTTTGCACTTGAGATTCATTAAATAGTTGTCCCCAACATCCTTAAGTCTGGTGATCTAAATCCCCTTATTTCTGAAGATATGAAGCTTTTATCTCCCTTACTCCAGAGCAGTCAAGAATAACACTCAGAGCACTCTGGAAGCAGTTTTTTGTGCATCTTTTGAAGCAGAATTTTATCATTAAAAGAATAAGCTTGGCAACCAATTTTTTTTTATCTGTGGAGAGTATATGCTTTGTTCTTCACCACAAACGAAAAAGAGTTTACAAATCTAAGACCATTATGTAATTATTACATAACAAAGTTGCATTTTCCCCTTGAAAGAATGAACAAAAATACAGAAATTGTTAAATACAGGGTTGATAATGAATACTGTATCTGGTCAATTTATGTTCCAAATAAAGCCTAGGTATTTGTCTACAAGCTGCTGTGCAGAAGTTTATCTAAATGCTGTGTTGTAACTCAGGGCAGTCTAAATGATATCAGCACCTAGGGAGGTTCTTAACAGCTCCCACACTCCATTAAACTGGCTTTGATGATAAGAAAATGGAGACAACAATCCGGATGTAATGTATTGTTGTGATTTATGTAACTGGCTTTCTCTTAAGACACAAATTAGTCATGAAATTTCAACTTAACATGCATAATTATTCTCTTTTCAGGGATTTACTCAGGAATTCCAAAGGTGTTTAATGAATTTCCATGATTTATGCAAGATTACATCTTTTTGTTTCATCAAATTTACATAAAAAAGAATTTTAATTCTAAAATATAAATATTAAACATTTTTATGAGTTCGAACACTTTTATATGTGACAAAATGCATCACAGAGACCAGTTTCAGGACATCTTCTATGATTCTTTGAGGTGGGTGGGTGTACAAAAACTGCTGATAAAATTTATAGGAGGTGATCTGAGAAGAAAGGTGCACCTTATTAGCTGAATTATAGTTATTCTGATATTTTGATTATGTAAATATGCCAAATTTCTTCATCAGTTAAATTTGCAATTTATTAATATTTCATTTTAATGATATACTTAATAGATCATGCTCATATAAGCATCACTGACTGAGACTTAAATCAAAAGTGACAGTCAACACCTACCGGTACATATACGTAAATGAAAAAATAACAAAAAACAGTCTCCAACAAACTGAAAAAACATGAATGTTAGCTGCGAAAGCATGAATAAAGTCCTGAGAACCACAAGAGGCATGCCATGCCAAGTGACATTCTGCACTACATGTATATGATGCATGGTTAGAACTCAGAATAAGTATTATCATGCAGACTCTAACAGTATTTAAGGATTTTTTGGTCATAACCTTCCTTCCTGTGAAAAATTCTTAATGAATTTTACTTATGTAGCTTATGTAATAAGTTTATTAGAC